AAAAGTGGCCTTAGGCAAAGGAATACAGCACAACATAGCAAGTTTTTAAGTTACTTTCCAGAAAGCCTAGTTCTGTCATTCAGGAAAATCTAGGAAGCTGTACAAGCCTTCTTCCCTCTGATATGGCTAACTTGCATTCTCAGAAGTGGGGGAGGGAAAAAATGTCTTAGAAAGTACCTCAAGTAGTTTGTTTGGGGTTTTTTTGTTTTCATATTTCGAGAGATATTAGGGCCTGTCTTTAGGACATGAACATTTCCTTTTGCCACTTTAATTTTTATATGTATTTGTCTCTTTAAACAATGCAGACTGAGCATGGGTATTAAGAGTACTGGAATTATGAAACCTAAACTACACAATTTTCTATGGAATTGATACTATATAGATTGGGTAAGATGAGCAGATGAGGTAGAGTGTGCACACTTAATTGTGCAGTCTGTTCCCCCCCAACATTTTTAATATGAATACTAGGATAATGGGTGACTAACAGGTTTTTATCATACTGTGCCCTGCAGGACGCATTTCAATGTGAAATAGAGAGGGCTTTTGTGGCTTCCATTAAAACTATTCCTGAAGCTAAATCCCTCCATCTCGCTCAGGAGTCATTCCTCAGTGATGTTCTATATTAGACAGTCATGAGTCACAGATGAAAAACGTGATAACCTGGGTTGCCTAAAGCTCTGTACATACCATTAATATCCAATCACTAAAGAGTAAAAAAGCACTCAGTTGAGTAGGGTGAAATGCATTTCCTCTGCCCAAAACGTGAAAAGCTGATAAAATTCCTTTTGTGCAGGGAACCTCAAATCTCATTAATGTTAGGATTTTAGAGACTCTCATCAAGAAAATGCAATAGTTTTTAATTTACTTGGTCCTTGATTGGTACTGTAATTCAAGCCATTTAAAATATGTAAGATCAAATTATTTTTAAATAGCTTTCTTATTATGTATGTATAAAAAGATATAGAAAAGCTCACTATAAGTGTGTGTGTTACAGTGAGCTCTAGGCACAGTGAACATGAGCACAAGCTTGATTTCTATCTATAAAGGTATTATCCACTCAGTGTCAACAGCATGTTTGGGATATGTAAAATGACAACTAGAGCTATCTTGATCAAACCCCAGAAGCCTTTTTTTGGTTAAAGGTCTGCTGCCTGTCATATAATTCCAAATAATACTCTTCTTTCTTTTCTTCGATGATTTTACCCATACCGTCACAGTTAATGTTGAACAAATTGGCAAACACTGGATTTACAGGCTTCCCAGTATTTATTTCAGTCATATTTACTATGATGATAGTTAAGCTGTGGCAGGGAGATTGTTCTTATATTTTGTCCTCATTGAATTTATTCAGGTTTCCTAATTTGGGGGGGAGAAGAATTATGTGGTTTAGAATTGTTGCTATATCACCTGGATCATCTTTCTCAGATGACTGAAGTTCTTAGTAACAAATACTTTGCCATCTCTGATAACACAGACTGAAACATTAACTTCCAGCACTGCTACATATACTATAGGTACGTGTTAAAAACAGGGTCTCAAATACAAACCCCAAATATCTTGAAAGTGCTTCTTCATGCCCACTGTACTTTGTTTTTATATTTCCTTTTTACGCCTCATGTAAAATCAATCTGACAAATGCTAACACAGATCTGAGGTTCATTAGGAAGTCATTAGTTATCCTAAAGGGATGTTTATGGATAGAAGCACTGTATATTTTGGGCTGTCAAGACAAATTGACCAAATGGCTTCTCTGTAACCACCCTCCAACTGTGGCAGGCTAATGTCAGAACTCAATGCATGGTATTCCTTTAAATCTAGTGTAAGAAAGTGGTTAGTGGAAATGTCTATGGTCATAATCAAATTGAGCCTCAAATGAAATTTGTAATTTAGATATCAATACAGTTAAACTATTAACATCTCACAGCATTTTTCAGAAATTATTTTCCCAATTAAAGTTTTTATATAAGTAGTGTTTTGTATTGGACTTTCAACTGGAGAGTCAAGACTCTCACAACTGGGCTGGCCTGAACAGTTGGTGCTCTCGGCCATAGAAATGGGTACTCTTAACTTTGACTCTGTTTCATCAGCCTTCCCCTAAACTTCCTTTTCCAATCATTTCATGGTTTAAAGCCCAGCTGTAAAATCTAATGAAAATATTCAACACTGATTATAATCACCCCCTTGGCCAAACAGAGGTAGTGTGCTTTCTTCTGAAATCATTTCAGAAGGTATCATTTTAGCAAAAACAGTCCGCTCAAGAACACCTGGCTCCTTAGCACCTGGTACACAGTGTTGTAATACTGTGGCCTTTTGCAGGCTGTATTATAGTCAGGTGGTTAAATGAAGTTAATGCCTTGGTGTCTGTTTGGGGCAGCAGAACACTAGTTTTCACTCACTGAATTCTTTCACTTCAAATATGTTATTTTGCCAATGCAATTGCTTTCCTCGCTGCTCTTCACTTCTGTTCTGTTCATGCTACAGTCGCATTATTAGCTTTTGGGCATGCTAGTTTAGCTTCAAATGACATCCTGCACTGCATGAATTAGAAAGAGGAACAGCCAGTGCTACATTTCAGTAAACATACTCTTCAAAACATATGTAACGAGATTGATCCCAGTGAGTTAATATTTTAAATAGAGAAGGTCAACCGTGTCTTGTTTTTGCTTCAAGGCCATGTCTGGCGGTCAGTTTCCTACTTGTTAGCACCCATCAGTCCAAATAATCTCTGTGCTCTACTAATTAGAAAAAATACACTTTAGGTTATGCCATTGTGGGGAGTGTAAAGGTAGCTATGCCAAAATTTTTCAGGCTTTTACATAATGCAGTGTATTCATACAGTACTTTTCAATGAATGCTTTTCTGAACAGAAAGTTACAATGGACTTCATAATGTATTATTTGTAAGTTTAAATGTGTCTCTATGTGGCTTTGCTTTCAGCCATCTGCTAAGCTTTACTTTTCCTGAAGTTTTGTTCAAGTTGTGTCGCTAAGATATAAAACATTAAGATTTTGATGACTTGTCCAAACTACTTTTTCTAAAATATTTATCTCGAGTAGCAGTGAGAAAATAGCACATGTGACCTGTGACACAGAACTACAATTAATGGGATAAGTATTTGCTTGTGTATGCCAAATCGGATCTTGGGCCCCTCAAGGACGCTTGAGGAAGCAGTGGTTGGACACCTTCATGTCTCTCTGATCCTAGTACTGAGGGCCCAGAATAGTTTCTTAGAACAAGATAGGACACAAGATTGTTGACTTGTGCCAGGCTTATTGCAGAAGAAGCTGGAGAATTTACAGGGAAGCACAGATGATCTAGTGCTATCCTATAATACTCACAGATCTCCTTTCAAACAGAGAACTCCACAGAGGTGGAAAATCCTTCTTTGTTTCTGTTTCAAACTGGAAATGGAAGCAACCTATAGTTTAATCTTAGGAGACCTGTCTGCTCAAGAAATTCTCAGAGCTTGTTCTCAGAAACGTGTCTGACTACCCCCTCTAGCTGTTGCTTGGGTCGCAGCTGGCAGGCTTTTCTTAGTAAAGACTTGTGGGTGTGGGTCCAAAAAACAGTCTACATTTTTAAGTGGATTTATAGGAAGTTCTACAAATTTAGATGCCAGGCTCAGAATAATACTTCACTGTGAGCTTTAAGCTAAAATATTTACACCATCTCTAAAAGCCTATTTATTATATAGTTTGACTTTGTAATACATAAAGGGTTGCTTCTAGACCATGCATAGAATTGAAAAAGCAAAAATCTACATATTGTATGTTAATACTACTGACTTGCTCTATATTGCATATGTATACAAGCAGTCAGGAAAGGGCTGGTATTATGAATATATTGGTTTAACTCAAATCAGAGTGCTTAAAAGGAATAAAAGAGAGAAAATAAAAGGGGGGGGGGGGCGCATTATGGTTGTTTAACCATTATTTGGTGTTTGTAAGATACAGCACTACAGAAAGCCTGAAGTGATGTTCTGTTTAAAACAATTTCTGTTGATTCTTTGGAGGGAGTAACTGAATTACTTCGTTTATTAAGCTCAAGGTGCAGGAGCCATACAAAAGGGATAGAGATGGCCTGAAGTACAGTGCCTATCTCTCACAATGGCCATTCTTGAGTTGTGTGAATGCAGGCACCCAAATGTGGAAGGAGCTGCTATGTAATTTCTGGAATAAGTGTCTTTGGAAAGAGACTCTTACAGCGATGTTTCCTCCCCAGGCAATTAGAACTGCCTGATACTTGAAGGATGCTCTTCTCTGAAGATGCTACTACAATCCTGGCAACTATGGCTCTCCAGAGCAGGTTTGGGTTAAACAGCTAAAATGGTAGTTATCATCCTTTGCAGATGACTGATACAAGATGAACAATCCCAAACAATTTCCTCCCTATCCTAAATTAGAAGGTTAAGTACAGTTACTAGGTATGTCAGAAAGGTGTGTTTTCTTCAATCCTGCTCTTTCTGACAGAATACTGGGGCTAAGAAAGTGGAGAAGTCAGACTTGCTGAAAAATATAGGAAGGTTTCTTGTACTTCTTCCCCACCTGCCCCCCCCCCTTTTTTTTTTTTGTTGTTTGTTTTTTTTGTTTTTCCCTGATCTGAAACTGATCTGAACATTCTCAAGGTCGGTAATAAAAGTAACCTGGAAGATCTTGGAAAAAAATAGGTATTTTTTTTCTTGGAAGTGAAACTTTGACTTGTAAGATAATTTCCTTCAAGGAAATATGTTAATAAATGATTTTACTTGTGTGTTTCATTATGCTATCATTATGATAAATTTTAATACGAATGTTACTAAATGAGAAATGCCTGTACACGTCTTTAGTAAAGATACAGTCTACTGAGGAAAACTTGTACTCAAACTAAACAAAGTAGGTCTGTATTTGGAGTTTGTGTGACCTGCATTTTTGTAGTGGGTATAGGTCTAGCAGTTTTATTTTCTTCTTTAACAAGCTTTGTACATGCAAGACTGTAACAGTCATTCTTAGAAAAGTGCTTACCGTGGAGGTGAATCGGAATATATGACGTTGACAACACGTTGACGTGTATCCACACTGGAACCAAGCTCAAGAGTTGGGGGATACTCCTGTATGCAGGTGGCTCTCAGCTCTCCAAAAGAGCCACCATAAGAGAAGCCATCTGGAGCTGGAAAACAAGCAATCAATACTTGCTGCTCTTTTCCTCTATGGTTTCTCTGAGGCAGTATCACTGTTCATAACACTGCCACAAATCGGAAAATAAAATCCACCAGAGGCAGAGGAATTACTGGTGTTCTGGAACAATCAGGTTTCACAGGACATTTCTACTCTTTTAAGAGCAAATTAGCATCATCTGTAGACAAACCATGGTGTTTCAGCTATGGCACTATATATTTAGTGCTGCCCTACAAGATGCAAGTGTCTAAAGCTTTTCTTGTGCCTCAAAAGTTGAAAAGGAGCATTGGTTCTGCTGCACACAGCTTCAAACAGTAGCAGCAGTGATGAAGCTCCCAGGAGTTGCATACATTGAAACCTTGCCAATTCTTTCAGGTTTTTAACAGAAAGCCTATGTGTTTGATTGTAGGTCTGTGTCTTGAGAAAAAGCTTTTCTCAATAAAAACACAAAAAGTGCAAAACATGGAAAATAGTAGAGAAAACCACCCTGCTGCCTGCTTCAGGCCTTCCTTAATGCTTCCATGCAAGAGCTTCAGAGTGCCACAAAAACCAAGAAGTGAGTGCTGTTTTCTGTTTTAGAGCATATTTAGCCTAATGCTCAACATTCCAGGGTAAATTTCCCTAACAGTGTCCCAAAGTGTGGAAATGCAGCAATCTCTGCTCCTCTACCTCCTGCAATTGTCTTCCAAATAAAGTGATCTCTCCTTTTCACTTGATACATTAAAATACTAGCTGGAGAGAAGGGCCAGCTTCTAAAGTGACACTGAAGTAGCAGTGTCTCTCTCAACAGAGGGTAGAGGACAGGATTCACTTGAACTGCCTGTTCCTCCTTCTGTCAGTTTTCATTTCTGCCAATGTGTTCTCGAGGAATTTACGAGGACTAATCCAGTCTGTCATGCACTGTGCTTTCCTTTGGCTTGATGTGTGAAGCAAGCCAACTTTGCAGTGACTCCCACTGCTTCCATGCTGGCCAATGGAAGTGTGCTGAGATATCAGGATAGCTTGTGCTAATGTGAAATTTTCACTTGGGTAGACTGGCTCGATTTAGTTTCAGATAATTCTTTTGAATTTCTCTGAAAATATCACCATGCTTGTCTTTTTCCATTTCTCTAGCATTGATACTTCTAATGAGTAGTTTGAAAATTGCCTATGTTTTTACCTGGCTTCAGGGTTTTTAAAGGGACCGAAATTAGTAATGATTGAATTTTAATGGTATTTTATTATGCCAAAATATTCCTGTTCATGGGTAAAACCCAGTAATTCCAATTTGGGTTTAACTGTTTAATTCCAAATTTAGCTAATGAAAAGCAGGAAAAATAGATGTTACAATAATAGTAGACATTAGTTTTCTGTATATTTTTTTCCCATTTTTTACCATGGAAGTTTGCATTTCACTTCTTTTTGAGTCTAAAGTTTATTCCCAAAACAAAGATGTTATTCGTTTATCTAGATGAACGCTTCTGGAAAAGCTAAAAATAATTATTCCTAGCTCCAGGTGGACAAACTGATCCTAGGAAATGTGTTTCTTTTAGACACAAAAAGACTGGTCCAAATAATTAAATGATTGACTTCAGTGGATACTTGATTTACCTTAGTGAAATCAAGATTTGAGCCAATGCTTTTTTATTTAGCTCATTTTTTCTATATAAAGAAAAAATGTCAACAATATGCAAAGCACAAAACCTTCAGATATAGGAGCCTAACCACAGGTGACATAACTGCTGTTGCTCCACCCATTTATCTTTTGAATTTTTACTAGCTGAAGACTTAGAATATCTTTTTATAACTGTTTTTTGCTTAAATATAGAAAAAATCAGATCCTGTCATTTCCTTGACAAAGTAGCTTTTAACTTCCGGTCAGCAAACGTAAAATTGGCCAAAAATAGAATTCTATAATTAACTCCTTCCTATTCCCAAATCCTTTTGAGGTACCAGGGGTTTTGGAGGTGGTGGTGGTACAGGACAAGATGGGACGGGACTGGGGGGGATTCAGGGGGATAGCAATTGGTACTTTTTTGATAGAAAACCAGTCTCTTTAATGATGATGACAGTTGTAATGACATTCTGATGCCCTGTTGTTCTGTTTATATCCAGTTACTAACTTATGGTCAGAGAAGTAGTAATTGCCCAGTCACTGCTGTAGCTTGTAGGAAATTGAAACATTCTTGGCTTTCCAACAAATGCAAATTACATTATATGCTATACCAAGGCTATAGTGGGATATGAAAATAAACTTGTCAGGAGTTCTAGCAATGGAGAAGAAATACTATACTTATCAAGGGAAAATAAGCTGTTCAAGAAATGGTGTTGGCATTGGCCTTGCATGGAACTTGTACTATGTGAATTCAGTGCCAGCACAAAGATGCTATTAAACTACAAAGCTGCCCCTGACCTACTTATCCTATTTTTTTAATTATATTTTTATCCCTTGCATGGCAGCCAGATGCTTTTTGTTGCCTGTAGCACCAGATTATTAATAAAGTTATGCATTACCTTGCTATAACTAGCGATCTTACCATAAACAACATCTGTTCTTGGACGTTGGCGTCTCAACCGCCTTTCCTTTCGCAGACCGCCAACAACGATTGTAATACAGGACAGAAACAGCACAATTCCAATCACAACTCCAGCCACCAGAATAGGTGAAAAAAATAAATGGGTTTCATTTCCGTGATCACTGTAGTTGGGGAATTCACTATCATCTGAGTCACTCTGGTTCAAGACTTCTGTACAGCAGAAAGCGAAAGAACATGTCAGTTATGAAGAAAGACATTTACAAAGTGTGGTTATACAGATGCCAAAACTAAGGGCTTTCAAAACCCTAAGAGACAGCCTGAGAAAGATCAGTTGTATAAATTCATGCTTTTATGGATAACCTATTTACTAGAATGCTTTCTGTAGCTGTTAGTAACTGACTCTGGGGGAGTCACTCAGCAATTGTTTCCCTGTTATTGGGAAGTATCCTGCTGGAATTGATGTATGTTACATAATTTTGATTACTTATTCCTGGAAAGATTCTTTGTATAATTATGCTGAAAGAACTGAAATGCACAAGGAGCAACATGAAAACTCCAAAACTGGGGCTCCACCTGGAACTTGGGCTCCACCTGGAACTTGGGTTCCACCTGTGTTGTTATGAAGTGTGAAAAGCCTCCAAGGTTTTGCAGATAAGAGTGAAACAGAGGGGCATGCCTTCGTTTGTGGAAAGAGTTAGCATCCCAAAAAACTGACTTGGAGCAGAGGGGTGAAGAGACTCATTCTTAAGTGAGGCATGGGATTTTTGTAAGGCATGGCTTTTTATTAAGCAGAAGCTTGGGCAGTATGGCCTTAACATCTCATAAATTGTCAGAGTAGAAAACCACCTTAATGAGACTTAAAATTTACTCCTTAAAAACCTGAAAGTAAATAAGCCTAATTTATTGCCTGTTGGGCTCCTCCTTATGTTTAAATAGTAACCCAATATGGTGCCACATCTGTGCTTTAGTCCAGGCTTCCCTAGTATTCAAACTGGCTTACCTGCCTTACGGAGAGGTTAGGTTTGCTGCAGTGATTCTCGTTTCATCCTCCCTCTGGTTTGGCCTAATACTGTGTAAGCAAGGAGCTGTGTGGGCAGTCAGACCTTGCCTTCAAAGAGTGTTGTGGGGCAGTAGGTACGTCCTGTGCTTCACCAGGTGACTGCAGACTGAGCTGAGCTCTACCTGGCTGTGTGCTTTTGTTCTGCCAAGCAGTTCTACACAGCAACTTTACTAGTCTTACTTCTACCCCATTTTGATTTTTCAGTTGGAAGGCACTCATGCTGTATGTGGCAAAAACTGTAACTGCTTTCTTCTGTTAACAAAAACCAACAATCCCTCAAGAGGTATTATTTAAGTTCAATAATAAATCAGTTAAGGGAGAAGAATGGAAAATCCAAGGATATCCCAAGCTATGAAAAGTCAGAATACCTCCAGTAATTTATTCCCAGGTAAAATAAGCTTTTGAGACAAGCTAAAGAGAGAGCATTGAAAATTAAACAGTAAGGTTCCTCTAGAGAACCAACTGGTGGGTATATGGTTATACCTGTGAATTAATTGCCCACAGATGTGTTTATGAGGGATTGTGCTGCTGATGGAGGGGAGTTAAATGTTAGAAATTAAGGGAAAAAGGATTTGGAATTGCAGCAGATAGAATCCCTGCTTAAGTAGAAGGCTTTGTATGTTTATTTGTGGAAAAAAGTTTGGGCATGCAGTAAAGGTAACTAAATTTGGGCCTAGGTCTTGAAAACAAATTGCAAACCCCACCCATTTTCCTAGCCTTAATCCATAGTTTATTAAAAAAACCCCAAACCAACAAACCACAAACAGACACTTCCCTCAGATTAAAAGAAATCTCCCACTAATTGCTCATTATCAGACTAAGTACCAAGTAAACCCGCATTTTATCTTTTTATGCATAATTTCTTTGATGCAAGAAATTATTAGAGATGCTTATGTACCAAGACTAGCTTTAAATGTGGCATGGGTTTATTTTTATATCTGGCTATATGGCAGTTGAACAGGTAAATCATTTGTTTCCTACGGAAACTAAGGCTAACAATATTTTGCTCTTTTGAGTGTTTTGTAAAGTGATTATATGCTTTTGGATGTTCAAATGCTTTTTGTATGGATAGATGTTAGCAGATAGTTTTCAGCAATGTTTTCCCCACTCTCTTCCTTTGGGATATACCACTTAGTGTCTTGCAGTCACAATAAGCTTTAAAAAAATGATGGCTTCAAGCCAAGGTATATTATCATTGGCTCATGCTTGGCATTAAAAGCACTAACTAGAAATAGAAAATAACTGGGGAATTAGCACGTAGTAGAGCTTTAGTTAATTTTTTAGAATCACTTGACTGTTGGCTGAGAATCTTTATGAGCAATTAAGATAGCCAGGAAATGTGATGGGCTTGTACAAAGCATGTTATGCCAAAAGAGAAAACTGGACCTTCTTAAAATTCAACCGGTTCTGTAGCTTCAAAAGGGTATGAAACCCTGTCCTGCTTCCTACTCTTAGCACGAAGAGTTTATGGGCATGGGATATGTTTGAGGGGTAGATTCTGCTGGTCTTGCAGATCAGGAACAGTGTCCACCAGTGTGTATTCCCACTGGCTTTCCACAGCCTTGTTTATTCAGGCTTTTGTAAATTCTGCGAATATCACAGCAGTGCCAGTTTGTTTAAATCACAGTCACAGGGAAGTGACACCTGAACTGAAAGCGCAGGTGGATGCTTTACTAGTCATTTTGGCTGACTGGCAAAGATAAAAGGGAAGAATTAACTTTGTTGCCATCATGGTGAGAACATGAGCCTGTTCAGTTTCTTTTGTGCGTGTGTTTGTGTTTTTGTGTTGCTTTTGATTTTTTTAGTTGTATATGGAAGCCAGCTGGTATCTTAACACATTGACTAGTTTGGAGGTTCCTGTGGTGTCACCCAGCATGAGCACTAATATTTGGTCTTATATTGCTTGATAGGAATTTAGTGGATTAGCAGTGACTTCAGATAGCAAGTACTCTCTCTTATGCTCTCCACTTGTACTTGAGGTGATATTTTTAAGTTTCAAGACAGCCCATTTATCTAGCATGTTCTCAGGGCTTCCTTAGCTGTTCCAAATGTTGTTTATTTTATCTCTTGTTTCTCACCATCGTGACTCTTTCTCTTTTTTTATGGTCTTAATCTAATTGAACCCAGTGTCTGGTAAAGACAAAATATATTGCAATATTGCTCTTATTAGAAGGAATGAATAACTCCCCTTAGCCTAGATCCTAAAACAATATGCAGTTGATAAACTTCTCTTACAGTGTTATTTTCAATTTGACAGTGAGTCTAGTCCTCCAGACTTTAATGTGACTTACTACTGTGGGAATTGCTCGGGTGGCTAACTACTACAGAAGGAAATACTGTGTTGATAAAAATTCTTTGGGTTTCACTTTTCGGGGGAGGCGGAAAGATGTTTACATTACTTTTGGCAAACAAATGCCTTATAAATTCTTCTCTTACCCAAATACATCTTATTTTGATAAGCTGTACATTTCTGTATATAAAAATGTGATGTGTTTTCATTCAGAATAGAAGCATCTGGAAATATATGTGAAGCCCATAAATATAACAGCAATAGCAGAGTGCTAACATACTTTTTTTTTTTGCTTTTTAGGTAAGCTGTATTTTTTCCATGAAACAGCAAATGGTAAACAGTAACATGCATTAATATGAATACTTTATACCTAACCCTCTAAATACGAATTACACAGGCTGCAGAAACCATTGTTTCCCTCCAGTTATGGGAGTTGCGTAACTAACCGGACATGGCATAAACAGAACGTGCTGGCTGTTGCAGCGGTGAATACAGTGCAAGGGGCACATATGGCTGAGCGAACACTTAATTTATGATGAGAGTACTAGTGGGAAATTGCCTACACTGTCTATTCAGTGTTAGACAATAAATTATCAATCTGAAAAATCCCTTAAGTATCACATTATATTATTTTGCCCAGCACTCCTGCATCTCAACAGACCAACTTGTGAAGTAGCTCCATGTAACTGAAGGAGGTGTAGTACAACTCAATTTCCTTGGTGTATATTGTGCTCTCTCCTTCTCATTAACCTGTCTTTGAATGGGACCCTTCTTACCTGTCCTAACTTGGCAGTAACTAATGTTGAGGTTTCAGTTGGGTCAGATCCTGTCAAAGCGAAATGTCTTGGTGTGCAGCTGTGTTATGGAAGCTTGGTACATCCAAGTTACAGGCCTTCATTAGGAGCAGTTTCCCTCCTACTCACTGGCTTTTACCTGCTTATATCCCAGATGAGACAGAAAGGAAGCACTACATACAAATGAGTATCACTTTTCTTCATACTGCCACAGTTCTGGTTTTGTTCTTTTCTGTTTGTTTTGTTCTTGCTTTTTGTTGTTGGCTTTTTGTGTGGGTTTTTTTTTTTTTTTTTCCCTCTGAAGGTACATCAGCACTAGTGAAGCCTCAACAATCTCTCTAATTGGTTTTCTTTGTTCCTTTAAAAATCAGAGATAATTTTAAGGCTGGATCTTAGTAAGTTTTTTTTTCCCTGGTTTATTTATCTTAATAAATATGATCATTCATGTCATCACTGGAGAGGATGAGACACGGAGTGGTTTTGTTTCCTGGACTGAAATGTGCCTGAACAGCTTATGAAGAAGTGCTGATGTGTTGTACTGGAAGGATTTTGTGTGCGGAATTGTACACCAGTACATCCCTGCCAGCCTCAGTTAAGCCTTGGCTGAGGACAGAATGAGGTTAGTGATTTCTTGCTGAACTAGAGCTGACGCACACTGACAGAACAATGTTGTAGTGCATGCACACCCTGGGTCAGTACAAGTTGTTTGGGTTGATGATCTAGCATCTCCTATTACTTTAAAATATGGTATGTTAACAAAGTGTATAGGACTGGAAATGAATAGGAGGAAGATCAGTATAGGATAGTGCATAGTATGCTTTGATTTTTAAATAATCACAGCTAAGTGTCTCAAACACTGAGGGAATTTAAAGCATGTTTCTGATACCCTTATTTTCCTTAATCACTGGTGGGGACAGTGTTGGAATATGCAATCTCTTTATCAAGGGGAGGAGATTGACAGATGGCAAGGAGTTGAGAGGTCCCGGTGAGGCACACTGGGATAGATAAGCTATATTTGTGGAATTGATAAAGATTTTGTTGATCCTGCCTTTATGAACAGTTCCTGTTCA